ACCTTTTGCTTCCTTGCACAAACCCTCCATGGGCAACGTTCCTTGTCACACACAACTGTGTAACAACACTCCTCATATGAATGCAAGACCTTGTAAGGTCTCTTTCATATCACTGCAAGCGCTTGCAACCACCTCTTCAATGCAGGGAGGTCCTTGAATACCCTCTCATTCTCAATTACCATGTTAGGGCCGGCCTCAGGAGCTTCTAGGAGCTCATCATCATGTCCTTCTGCACACGCCTGTTCGGAATGAGCAAGATCGATGAACTCATGAACTCTTGGATCACGGCGGCCGGGAAAGATACGCCTCAGCATCTCAACATCACTCTCTGTCAGCTCTCTAACAGGATGATCATCATCAGAATCAAGAGCCCTTGCCATCTCATATGGCTCCGAATCATTCATAATTTCAACACTATTGGAGCCATGGAATCCATCTCCACAGAGCACTTGTGCAGCAACAGTGGGCACATCCACATTGTCAGGAATGTCTACTACAACATAAGTAGAAAAATGAGGAAAGAATAGAAAATTGGATGTAAGGAATGGGGTAAGCTCCCAATAACCATGCGGATAAGACACTTACTCGGATAATTCTGTGTCAAAGGGATCTCATGAGGAGGATCTACCACAACATCTTGAGTCTGACAAGCATCTCTAACTAGCATATTGGGGGGTAGATTGAGCATCGGGAACCGTAGGTGCAACCTCCGCATCCATATCAGGTTCTAGGATGGGAGGGTCGAAGTGTGCCTGCTGACCCATTGGTGGGGAAAACCCATGAGGGATGGGATCAACTAACACCCGACGCACAACCATGTCCAAACTTTGGAACTGGCACTTCATAGCCGATCTCACATAGTTCTCCCACTGGTCTGCACACCCAATTAGGATCATCTTCCTAAGGATGTTGGGAGGGGAACCTAGGTGAAGTACACCCTCCACTGCGACGCCATCATCATCATCAGCTCCATGGCAATGTAGCTCCTCCCGAGCCCTTGCAACCAACTCACTAAATAATGGCTTCTCATTGAATAACACAGGCACGCTTTGCATCTCAACAAACTCAACATATCCATAGCGATCTCTTTCCACGGTGCCTCCATAATATATGCTCACTAGATTGTCCATCTAGTTCAAACACGTAACGAAACACATGTCCTTTAGTCCAAATTAGATGATAAATAGTACCTAACAAGTACTTTCTAACTACAAACTAAGTAAATAAGATAATAACTACGTATATATACAATGTACTCACTAAATAGCTAGACCCTATTTAGTTAACTAAATATATAACTACCTATCTAAGTAGCTATCTAACTATATCTATGTACTTATGTATCTATGTTTTTATCTATCTACATATCTATCTCACTAGATCACTAACTAAATCAACTACCTGAGTCATCACATTAACTAGTTAATAACAAATGCCAAAACTACTACACTACAATTAAAGCTAACTAAATATGTACATTGCATATTCACAATTTTTACCTGTCCGACGACGGAGTCGTGGACGTCGATGGAGTCGCAGCGGACGCCAGGATCAATGGCCCTAGGATGGAGTCACAGCGGACGCCGAGCTTGGGTGAGGCCGATGAGCCGATGAGCCGGGCCAGCCATGGCCTGGTGGAGTCTTGGATGGGCCGAGCTCCAGCAGTGAGGCGGCACACAGTGGTGAGGCAGGCCGGGCGGGCGGCCGCAGTGAGGGCGCGGTGAGGGCGCGGTTGTGGGCGAGGGCGCGGGCGGTCGGGGGCGGGCGCGGGCGCGGGCGGCGGCAATGGTGCGCTGGTTCGGGGCGAGAGAGAGAGAGAGAGAGAGAGAGGAAGAGAGAAAGGAAGGGAGGGCCCATACCTAAGATAGGCTTGGCGCCAATCACCACTGCACCAAGATCTACGGCGCCGAGGTGCCTGCTAAGTCACCGCCACGTCTACGTCGAGCCCAAGACCTCGGCGCCAGCAACGATGATGCCGAGACGTGTAAGCTTGGCGCCAGCAACGATGGCGCCGAGATAAGGGTCCAAATTTTGAAATCATACATCCAGAGACATATTTATGAAAAAATTTCAAAAAAAGGGCTAAAAAACAAAAAAATCGGATGAAGAAGTTCGTCAAGTACGGATGATTGTCTTTAAAGAGTTCAATGCTTAATAAGTAGTCACTTTTGGTCCATTTTTTCAGAATTTTTCATAGAAAACATAACAAGGATTGATTAGGTACAGAACTCTTACAGGCTAGAATAAAAAATCTAAAGAATTCTTCCTTTATTGCAAAATATAAGATATTTTGGTTTGTGCTAAGTCAAACTTCTTCACATTTACCTAAAATTCTAGAAAACCACACCAACATTACCACCAAATCAAATCCATCAATGGATATATCTTTATTGAATGTTTGTTTGATGTTAACAATGTAGGACCTTCCAAAAAAAATGTTAAACATGTAGGTAGGCCAGTTAAAGGTGTTTAATTTGCGACAAATCTAAAACATGTTATATTTTAATTGAGGAAGCATTATTATTCTTATTATGGTATGAGTTTGTTAGTCCATAGCCGAGTATGTTTATAAAGGATTAGCAAAGATTCAATAAATGATAGATACTAATAGGCCCTGTTTGGCACAAGTTCTCCACCAGCCTCACGAGCTGTTTAAACTTGTTTGTGTCAAATGAGTCTTTTACAAACAGCTTCACTGGTGAATCTCTAGAGATCTTGCTCTCACATGAGATTAGGATGGGATGAAGCTGAAAAAGTGGCTTCTCTCAGCTCTCACCAACACAAAGGGGCCTAGCTCAAGTGGAGGTCGGGTTTGCCCCTAGGGACCGTGAAGGAGTGTGCTCGGCTGGCATGGGGAACGTCGCCGTTCCCAGGGCGTGGCGCTGACGCCTACGGCGTGTGTGGGTTGTACTAAAAAAAGAAGGCATGCAGGCACGGAGAAAAAAGTGTCAGCCATGGCCAGGGTGGCACGGCGAGCACAGAGGCCCGAGACTAGGCGCGGCTACCGCTTGCTAGCCATCAAGGCACGCGCGGGCGCTGCCGCCGTGCCATGGTGCGGGCGAGGCCGCCATGACTAGGGTGCGTGGGCGAGTGAAGAGGGCCAGGATAGGGAAGGGCATTGTAGTCATTTCATTCTTTTCGTCTATAAATATGAGTTGTTTTGCCAAACGGTCTATCAAAACAACCTCCGCTCCACCGATGGAGCTGCTCGTAGAGCTAAAGCCAAAATGAGCTACTTCACTAGTGAAACTGAGCTATGCCAAACAGAGCCATAGTCAGTTTTTTTTTCTTGCCTCTTGCAGATGGTTACTCATGGGGATATGGATGCATGGACCATTGTGTGACTTGGAAGAAGCTCTTTTTTTAAAAACGAAGAAAGCTCCTTTTACCTTCTTAAACCGTAGTCATGATATGATCTTCCTACTCGAACTCTAAAGCTGAATATCTTACCCCATCAACTCTCAATTTTTTTTAAATTTTCTCCCTATACCGTTTAGAAGTGATTTGAAGGGCGGTTCCATCCTTTCAGGTTAAAAAATGGGTAAATACGTAATAAGGTTTTTAAACAAAAGGAAAATATCTAAGCTTCTAAAATTTTGAGAAAAATCTTAGATACATATTAGAACACGACAAACCCGAATAAAATATTTGGAGCTCATAAAAAATCTCTAGAAGCTTCCAAAACCATATTGCTCTAGAACAATCTAAAAATTTCTCAAAATATTCTTGTTGATGTTCAAATGCATTTTGAAAACTTTCCACAACAAAACACATGAGACCAACATGAATGAGTTCAACATTAAATGTATGTTGCATTCATGCTGGTTGCATCTCATTTTGTTATTGAATGGTTTTAAACACATTAAGATATCAATTACAGTGTTTTGTGGATTTCAAATATTTTTCTAGATATTGTTCTATTTTCCTAGAGGTTATATAATTTTGGAAGATGCTAAAGATATTTTCTGGAGCTCTAAGTAATTTATTTTGATTTAAAAAACTCGATCCGCGGTGGCTAAACAGCCCTCAGGTATTCCGGCTCAAAAAGATCTTCAGCTCCGTGAGATGAGCTGACCACAGACCTATGCTTTGGATGTGAGGAAGATGAGGGAGTTTTTTCTCCTTTGGTCTGTGCTTTGGATGTGAGGAAGACGAGGGAGTTTTTTTCCCTTTGGTCACTGCGATCGAAGCCACAAATAAAGAGTGAGTTCCTTGGGACTTGAACTCTAACCACCCCAAGGGGGAGATACTGAGCCTGCACTGACCACTCGGTATATATCTGTATGATTGATCTTGAAATTTTTAGAAGCCTAGATATTTTTTTTTTTGTAGTTTGAAAACCTAACCATGTAATTTCTAGATTTTTTTAACTAAAGAAGGATGAGTTGAAAACTACTTCTAAGCGAGGCATTTAGGTAATTTAACTTGTTTTGAGAATTGAGGGAGATAAGACGTCCAGTTTTAGAGTTCAAGTGGTAAAAGGAACTTTTTCCGTGCGACATTTTGCTAGAAATATTTGGTCCTATTGGTTTACGTTTTGTCCAACTTGTGGGCTTATTTATGTTTTTCCGGTGGTAGCAGCGTGCAACCTAGCCCAGTAAAGCCTCATTCCGTGGTTTTATAAGCCCAGCCCATTAGAAAATGTGCTTATAACTTCTGATGCCTATGCTCCTCTTTGAGCCAAATGTTCAGTACTTGTTAAAACAGAATCAATGAATTAACATTGGCACAAGTACTGAACGATACTTGCAGATGGATGCATCCATATGCAGTTTGGGCTTGCAAAAGCACCAGATTCAGATGAAATCTAAGACATACGAAAACATTCAGGACATTCAAATTCTAACACCATAATCTAAAACAGCATCATTAGTCTTTAGTCGCATTAGCACACTAGCACCCCTACGTTTACATGATCACACTTGCTTCGGTACGTAGCTGAAGAAACCAGCGGCCTGAGTCCTGAGCCGAACGATGGAGTTCGTGCAGTGCCAGTGCAGCTATGCAACGCGAATAGCCAACAACGTTGTTGGCATGGGAACCATGCTGAGTTCCGGCGTGGCAGCGACGAAGCCCGGTCCAGCGTACATGGCCAGCGGCTTCCACAGTATCTCCTCCACGTCGATGTCGTTGCTGCCAGTACTGCTGCTCTCGCCGTCGTCGAGCGGTTCGGCCTGCGGCGGGCGATGCTTTTTGTGCACGTCCCAGCGCTCAGCGGACGTCGCGCGGCTGAGCGGCCACTTGCTGCTGCTTACGAGGGAAGACGTGCTTGAAGACGACGACGACGAAGCCAGGCCCGCTGCCTTCTTGTGCGCGTCCCACCTCTCCACGGAGTCGGCCCGGCCGGGCATGGCCGGCGGCGAGGTCGCGTTCTTGCGCGGGGACGATCCGTGTCCGGCGCTGCTCCTGACGCTGTCGGCGGAACGAGAGCCTGATGATGATGAGGCTGAGGGTTCTGCGCTGGCCGGCTTGGTCTTGCGCGCGTCCCACCTCTCGTCGGAGTCGGCGCGGCCGGGCTTGGCGAGCGGCTTTGGGAGGATGGCGGCGACGCACGGCGTCGGGAGCAGCGGCAGCATCTTACACTTGGGAGGGGTCGGGAGCAAAGCCGGGAGAGCCGCGTGTGCCATGGCGAGGTGAACGCGGGCGACCGGGATCGCCATGGATCGAAGACGGAGACGCGCACACCAGAAGGCAAAGGGCCGGCAAGTGAGGCGAGGAGATGAAACAGAGGCGACGATCGGTGAGATAATTTCCGGTAGCAGCGCGCAGCAGAAATATATAGGCCCCAGGGACGCCTGGCAATTCGGTCGAATCCTCGAGTACTCGTCAGGTTGAATCGTAGTTGGTGTCCGAATTCCTCATCAGCGACGAGACGCGTGGGCGCCACGCCATTTCTCTCCTAGTCGGATTCAGGGCTTCCTCCGTCGCTGTCCAAGTGAACTGGCCGCCGCGCCTGCTTTTCCTTACTGTCGCCAAGAATATCAGATTCGGCCAAGGAAATGTATTCCAACAAATTTGGAGAAACCGAAAGATTCAGAATGAAGACAAGTACTACAAACGATCGGAGCCAGTGCGCGTCAGACGACCGCCAAGTCATTCACTGCAGTTGGATACAGTCATTGTAATGGCCTGTTCGATGTCGATCGACGATCAGACTGCGGACGACGACTGGCCGCGCCAGACTCTTTCTCATAATCTCCTCATCTCACAACTCTTCTTCATTCGTCTCCTCTGGTACTGTGTATGTCTCCTTCGTTCGATGATCCATGGCGATACCCCTTGCGCGCGTGCACCTCGCCATGGCGCACTCAGCTCTCCCCGGGCTGCTCCCCACCCCGGTGCACGATTATCCAATCCAGTCGCTGCTCCGGGCGCCGACGTGGACGTGCGCCGTCATCCTTCTCAGTTCGCCTCCCAAGCCCAGCCACGCCGACGCCGTCGAGAGGAGGGACGCCCGCGACATCAAAGCAGGCGGCAGCATCATCATTAGGTGGCCAGCGTCCGCCCATGGACAGCAAGAGTTGCATCCCCGGGCACGCGTTCTCGTGTGCGAGATGGGACTGCAACAAGAAGAGCGCGACGTCCTCCTCGGCGAGCCCAACCAGCAGCCGCGCCGACTCGGACGAGAGGTGGGACGCGCGCAAATACCGAGTGGTAAAAGTAAGATAAACTTCACTAAACACTAGTCCTAGACATAGAGCAAGCATATAAGCGATGGTATAACTAACCTAAACACCTTACAAAACACTACACTAATCACCTAATCTTTTCTTAAGTATTTGTGGTGGCTAGAGCACTTGAAATGGTGTCTCAACACTTCTCTATCTTTTAAGACTCTCTAACACGTACACAAAAATGAGCCAGCCAAGGGCCCTAGACATCAGAACTAGCCGTTGGTGGCACGCTGCACTTTTCGTAGACTCGCAGGAAATTTCGGTGCCTACCATCAGTCGGGGGTGGTGCCAGGTGTACTAGTCGCTTAAAGACAGTCGTTGATCTAACAACGGTTGGAGCACTATTCATCAGACGCATTCTCCGGTGTTTCTCACTGAATATTTCTGGTGCTAGTTTTCTCTCTCTGAAACCTCTCTTCCTATCTGGTGGAGATAGATCTCTATCTCCGGTGCCCAACCTTTAGAACACACTGATTAATTGTGACAGAATCGTCCGAAATAACACGTTTTCAAAGACGTTCGTCTTCCACTAGACACTAAGCATCCCGAAAGTTGAATACATCGGACAGTTCCGTCGAGCCCACCCCAAGGAAGAACTCGAAACAATCCACGTTCTACATCCAGAATCCAATAATGAGTCCGAGCTTATAATACTTAGTCCATTTCATACAACAAGAGTTCTTAGAAATTATTTATTATAATACCAGAGTTTAGAGTGCGATAAGTAAACAACGGAATAAAAATAAACATATAACAAAAACGATACAAGGATCCGTCTATGCCCACCAGAAGAATTCTATACACAAGAGCTACTTCTCATGCTACACCTGCAACATGGGTAAAATAAACCCTGAGTACACAATGTACTAGCAAGACTTACCCGACTAGTGGGAATAGTTTTCCTGACTCTCAAGGATATGATAGAAAATATGAGTTTGTTGTTTTCTTTTTGTTTGCGTAGTCCATCCTTACAGTCAAGTTTTATTAGCAGTCATGATTACTTCATTAGCTAACCATTCTAAGTAAGCACCTGTTATACTTTCAAGCAAGGGTTAAGCAATCTGAACCATTTCACTATCTTTCATCTTCCAGTTCTTACTAAGGTGCTAGACCATAGCTAAGTCGTACCGTCTCACGAAAATAGCGATTCGCAAACTAATGTATCCTAGCTAGGTACTCCGAAACACAAGCCCTATTTGTACCCCAGGCATAAATAAGACCAACTCATTCCACTCCTGTTACGGGGTCCATGTCCCCGTCCAAACTTGGACTCCAAGCCCCCACACTTGAGACCCGGTCTCAGTATGGTGCTTAGACCTCCACCTTTCTTTGCCTCCAATTAGTCGGTCTGAAAAGAGCCAGAACCCACGACAAGAGCGTAACGAGCCTTCCCGCTCCCATACGCAAGTATGTGCCTAGGATAATAAGTCTGTGACCTGACTACCATCCACAGCAACAGACGGTCCTTAATCGACACGAACAGGGAAAACAGTGTAACCAATCTAAGCTCCGTTGGCTGCGGGACACAACCTGTTACACCCACCAATACCCATACCGCCCTGTCTCCATTTTCCTTTCATCATTTTATCATGAGAGTAATTATAACAATCACCTATTATGAGTAACGGCAGGTTGCTCATGCTACAAAAAACCTAAGCATAGCAACTACCCGAACCTGCACTAGTAAGACTCTTAGAACATATATATTTATGCATGTGATTTCCATAAAATTCCTATAACGTAAATGCACATAAGATATATAAATAGTGATTGTCAAAAATAAGGGGTTATGCACCGGAGCTTGCCTTAGGCAGGCATGGTGTCAACTGAGTTAGTCAGTGGCGGCTCTGAGACCTCCTACATGAGAATCTCCTCCTCGTACTCCTCGATGATCTTCTCGAACTTATGATCGCCGGTGGTCACGATCTCCGCCAACTCGTTCTCTACATGCTTTCGATGATGATACAACACTTATTATTTATGCAACAACAACTCTTAAAATAAGAATACACATACTAAGCTACTAAGCTAGCTCTAATGACTAAGATACTAAGCTAACTGTCATTTTCATCAAGCAAGGTGTTGGGTTCAACTAACAAACACCTAGTTTTATAAATGAAGGATATATCTTTATCTCTAGTAATGATTTAATGTATATTTGAAGCAAAGAGCATTTAACTACCCTAATGCTTTGTCTATTCTAAAGCTACAAAAATTACAGTGAGCACATAATAATAAATTGAAGCTACTATAAAAATTTTAGGACTAAAGCTATCACCAATTTACCAAAAAAATTCCTACAATATTTAACCTAATAATATTGAGCACTCTTAAATGATTTAATAGCTCCTGGTATCAACATGTATATATATGAACTAAATATACTAACAGATAGAGCACAATTTTAGAAACCTAACAAAATTTGTGTCATAATTTTTGGACACCTACATGATTTTATATGATTTACCAAAGATCAGCTCAAAAATTAAATTAGAAAACTATTTCTAATTCCATGTGAAAAAAGAAAAATGAATTCTCCTGCGCGGCCCACACATGCGGCCCACGCGACATAGCGCGCGCACGAGCGCGCGGCGGCCCCCGGTGCGGCCCACGGTGGGGGAATCTCGCGCGCGCTGGCGATTTTACAAAAAAGACGTCGAACTTCTCCTGAATTACGACTAAGTACAAACACTATTTCCCCCTCTCTCAAACCTTCTCACTTAACCCCCTGGCTTTCTTGGAATTCCCCCGTGTGCACCCTCGGCAACTCAGTGCACGGTGGTGCGGCGAGCGGCGACACTAGGCGTCTACGCCGGCCACCTAGGACTTGCGCGGGCCCACCTAATGGGTCAATCACTACTTTGACCCGACCAGCTACGGTAAGCGGCGGTGCAGGGTAACACGACTGGTTGGGGAAGGCTGCAGCGGCGCGTGGCCATCCACAATGGTGGTGCCACTATTCTAGTGGGCTGGGATAGCTACAGGCCTAATTGATTAGCGCATGAGCATCAGGAGCCTACCCTAGATCAGACCAAGGTGACGGTTGGGGCGGAGGATGATGGAGGAGGGCTGGCCATGTGTGGCCAAACCGTGCGGCGGCACACCACGGTGGCACGGTCGCATCAGCAATGATGGGGCGGCGGTAGCGATTCCGCTGACATGTGTAAGGTGGAGAGGGAGGCAAGGCAAAGCTAGTGGTGCAAGTGAATTGGTTCAGGGGGGACGGTAGGAAGGCTGCCCTCGTCCACTGTTGGACGCGGTGTAACACCTCTGGTGTTTAGACCTAGAACTGAAACTTGGCATGTCATCATATGCATTGCAAAGCATTCATAAAGCAGAAAATTTGGAATGCATTCACTAAATAAGATTTGTTTCATAAGTTGTTATTTTATGTGATGCAATGTGATTCAAAACGTTAAACAAAGATCATGACCACAAGGGTCAAATTTCATGTGATCATGTGAGACCATATGTCATTTGACTCAAACAACCCTAATGGGCCATGTTACTGGTCAAAAATCAAAGTTAAAGTAAAAGAAAGACAAATCAAATTTGAATTCAAATTTAAATTATAAAAGTCCTTTTTGCCTCTTTTGGATATTTCAAAATCCATTTGGAATTTGGGGTTGTGACAAAAAGCAAAGTTGGAGCTTATTTTATAAGGATCAACTTTGGTATTCAAAGTTTTTCAAGTTTACATATAAAATTTGGAGTAATTTTGAAATTATTAAAATGCTCAAATGCACCCCAAATTCAAATTTCAAATGGAGGCAGAATTTGAAAATATTTCTAGAAGCAAAGTTGTAGAGTTTGAAAAATTAAATAACTTTCATTTTTGGAGATTTTCAACTTCTTTAGAAAATTTGTGAGTAATTTGAAAAAAATGGACGCAGTGGCAGTTCTGTAAATTTTTCAAAAATCAACCTCCACCTCTCTCCTTGCCGCCGGTGCCA